GTTCCAAGGGTTCCCCCAAACACCCAGGGGGGTCCCCACTGTCCCCAAAGGGGTCCCCCAAACATTCAGGGGGTCCCCAATGTCCCCAAAGGGGTCCCCCACACCCCCAGGGGGTCAACAAAGTTCCAAGGGGGTCCCCAATGTCCCCAGGAGCTCCCCCACACACCCCCAGGGGGTCCCCAATCCAAATGCCCCCAAGGGTCTCCCAGATCCTCAGGGGGTCCCCGATGTCCCCAAGGGGTCCCCCACACACCCAGGGGATCCCCAAATTCCCCAAGGGGTCCCCCCCACTCCCATGGGGTCCCCAATGTCCCCCAGGGGGTCCCCAAACACCCAGGGGGTCCCCCACACCCCCGGGGGGTCCCCAATGTCCCCAAAGGGGTCTCCCAAATGTCCCAAAGGGATCCCCCAAACACCCAGGGGGTCCCCAATGTCCCCAAAGGGGTCTCCCAAATGTCCCCAGGGGCTCCCCCACACCCCCAGGGGCCCCCGCTGTCCCCAGCCCTCACTTCTGGCAGGGGTGGTCCTCGGTGCGGGGCAGCGTGGGGTCCTGGGAGACGTCGGCGATGATCTGGGTCAGTTCACTGCGGTGATTAGTGCCGCAATTAACCCCAAAATTAACAGCCTCGTTAACGAGCCCTAATAATGACCCCCAAGGAGCTCTAATTACCCCTAATGAGCCCTGGCTCTCACTTCTCCTTAGTGCTGCCCTCATGAATTTGTCCCTGGAGCCCTCTCATTAATTACCCCAATCCCCCTCATTAATTACCCCAAGGGCTTTCATTAATTACCCCAAGGGCTTTCATTAATTACCTCAACCCCTCTCATTAATTACCCCATGGGTTTTCATTAATTACCCCAACCCTCCTCATTAATTACCTCTACTCCCCTCATTAATTACCCCAAGGGTTTTCATTAATGACCCCAACCCCTCTCATCAATTACCTTAATTACCCCAATTACTCTAATTAGTTACGCCAGCCACTCCCTAATGACCCCAACCACTTCCATTAATTGCCCCAGCCACTC